GTGAATAGCACAGGCTCAGATGTGAACCTCAGCCTTGGTTGTCTCCTTACCCTCTTAAGCAATAACTTCAACAGAACTCAATGGTTCATCTACAAAATCGTAAAAATTATTTTTAGTTAAAAGATAATTTTAAGGTTTCTGTAGAATAATACATATATAATGTCTGACTAATACAATGTCTTACATACTAGAAAGACTCACTACAAGTAAGCGAATAATGCTCTCAGTTCTGAGACTTACTGGGCTTCCTGACGTGAAGTTCTAAAATTTAACATTTGCTACTAAATAATCAACAGCATGCTTAGCACAGTGTACATTTATAATAAATGCTAAAAATCAAGATTTTCAGTTGTACTCATGCTGGGAAAGGCTGCACACATTTCTTTTCCTCTTTTGCAGATATATGGTTCAGTAGATCTTAGGACCAAGAGGCTACAGCAGTCGTCTGGGAGGGGAAAAGCCTGGACCTCATCAATCCAAAGCACACTGGCCATCTAGACTATTTTCCTATGATCAGCAAAAGAGCATGTCATCAACATAATGCCCCTTACCACCCTTTCCTTCCTATTTTAAAAAGCCTGCATAATAGTAGTTCTGTTATAATATTTCACTGGATTCTTACACTGCCTTAAGAGAGATGTTTCTACGTTTTGGTAACAGGACAGCCTCATCCCAGAGTGGGAATGTGACTTCTTCCACGCCACTCACTAGTCAAGAGATGCCTGGTGAGAGGGCCACTGAGCCCCAGACAGGTCCTTCCGCCTGCGAGAGAAGCTGAAAATCTGCACAGACAAGTGGCCCCAGCAGGCAGCAGAGTGCTGTTGATTTCTTCCCTGCCCTGCTCTAGACTTGCTTGAAACCCCAGCTTATCTGGCCCTGAAACCTAAGAAGATTTCAAACTGAACCAAACTGAATGGAACCAAATAGCCACCATTTGAGTAGTGAAGGAACAGCTTTGAAGAGAAAATAGTCAGGACCCAGAGATATCCCAGTTTATGAAGTAGTGTTTGAACTGAATTTTAATATATGAGAAAATCTGGTGTGACTCATCAGTACAATAGAAGGTAAAGTGCCTATTTTTAGGTCATCATAGAAATCAGCTTCTTCACTTTAAAGCCCACATGTACACAGTCTTCTTGATCTAGCAGTATGACTTGCTTGTGTAACCTGAGTGGATGATGAATCCTTTGTCAGAAAATGTTCTTCACATGAGGACCAAACTTTCTGAAATGCATTCCTACACACAGGGAGCGGCTCAACAATTTTGAGAAGTGTCACTATTTTCAAGTTATGTGTAAGTCTTCTAAATTATGTCGGAGTTTCTATTAGAATGACATTACTGCCTATGTCTGCTCTGTTGCCAATCTGTGAGCCACTGATTATGGAAATATGTTTTGACAAGATTTATTAGATTAAGCCAATTTATTAACATTCCATGGGCAAAAAGACAAGAGAAGCCCCTGTAGGAATCAGATTACCTCATTTCCTTGATGTCATTCTCCCCAATATTAAAACATTTTTTTGCAATACTTACCAGCACTTTTAATTCCCTGCACATGGCACATTTCTGCTAGTTATCTCCTCAGGTATATCTGTCTCAAAGTTTGTATCTAATCTGCATAAGACATCAGGAACCTGCTGAGATGTTGGTTTGTAATCTTTTCTCTGGCCAAATTATATCCTCATATTATCTTTCTAGTTATCTTTCAGAACTCATCAGGAAGATGCCTTTCACTTTTAAGCTTCTATCTAAGGGTATCTGAATAATAAAAGTCTTCTAGCCTACACTGCAGCATGCCCAAAGCAATTGTGAAATTAGATCAATGAATTATTCACTTTTTAAAGAGAATTTTAAATTTTTATTTTTTGTTTTAATTACAAAAGCAAGCAAGCCACTTAAAATGGGGAAAAGGCAACAATGAACAAGAGAAAGTGTTGATAAAAATCAAATATAAATCTACCATTTTATAAAATTTTTAAATATTGACTTATATTCTGCTATCATTTATGCATTTATTCTGCATATATGTGCATTTGTGTGTCTAATTCTAAATGTTGCTTAGAAAACTATTAGATAGAAGGTGTGTAACCAGGTGAGACACTGTATTTGATTAATAGTAAGAAGGGATCATCACTCACTTGGTGTTTCTTACACTTCACGATTCCTCAGCTGCTATATACACCATTGCCCAAAATGTGGAAATTGGGACACAGTATTTTCTAGCCAGTTTTCATAATGGCATTGCACTACCCTAAGATTGGTAAACTGCCTTTCCATAACATAGAACTCACTGGAGTTCAGAATGTGGCATCAGTGGGGAGGACACTTTGTACCCCAAACTTCACCTCGATTTTCTGAATGGTAACTGTCTAGGAAGGCTGACTTGGGACAATGCATTTGGACCACTTGTAATTTCATTTCCTATTTTTCAGCGATGGTCATCACTAGCTTAGGTATTTCCGACTTCTTCCAGAGTAAGTTGATCAAAAGAATTTTCACTCTCCAACTATAAGCATGATATAGGGATACAGAAGTAACACTAAAACCTTTGAATAGCCTGAAAGAAGACACAATATTTATTACTAGATGCTGAGACAGGTTTTGATAGAATTATTTACATTTATTGGAAAAAAAGATTTTCTCTATTATGAGATCCTTTAAAACATATGGCAGTATTTAATAACCAATAAAGTGCCATTCTTAAGAAAAATTTTCAAAACAAGTCTTTCTGTGTACAGGGAATGAAAACTCCAAACCCAAGACTGCTGGAGCTGGCTCAGTCACTAGTTGTTCTGCGCCTCAGGGTCAGAGGCCAGCCTGGCTACTTGGGAACTTCACTATTTCCAACTACCGGATGAATCCGCATCTAAGGTTGGCCCTGACACATCTTGAGGGCTTGTCTGTGGCTCTTCAACCACTCTACAGGGTAGTGAAATATCAGTATCGTGGATGTACAAGAGCTATGCTGTATTTCAAAGAGAAATTGCTGGAATCTGCACGGGGAGGGAAGAAAAGCAGAGCAGGCACGCAGAGTACGATGCACTGAGTTCAAGTTGTGACTCTATCTCATGGGTGATGTGGCTTTGGCCTCCTCCCTCTGACACTCTGAGTCACAGGGACCTCTGAAAATGCAGACAAAACCCCTCCTCTTCCCAGCCTCACCTTAGGTTCAGAAGATACACAGACACTAAAACCCTCTGTGAGTGGAGCAACGAGTGGACAGTCTGCACGCAAGGCCCAACCCTTATATCCAACCTCAAGGTACATTTCCTGTGTGCATCTCCGCATTTGTTTATCATGTCATCAAATGTCCTTATTTCTAAATTAAAGAGAAAACCCCTCACAGGGGGAAATGTGTTGCATCCCCAAACATCATGAAGACTACCCTGCCTGTGAATGCTCTTTTCCAGTATGTTCCTTTTATGACACAATCCGAGCTGCTCCAAGTTTCACCATGAAGAAGCTGGGCCAAAGAACCTCTCTCTTCAATCTCTTCTCCAGCTCGCCCGCTTTCTAACTCGTCTCGCCGCAGTTCACAGACAAGAGCCAGGGGAAGTGTCCATAAAGACACTGAGGAGAATGAGGCCTCAGACTCACTCCCTGCAGGGGCATCCCCTGTGCTGTCCCTGGTCTGCACAGCCAGGCTTCTCTCCTGGGGTCCCCAACAGCTCAGGCGCAGCTGAGGGAGTGCTCAGGGAGGAGGGCCCAGCGCAGGCCCAAGCTGGGTAGGTCCCAACCACCCAAGAGGAGACCAGTGAAGAGCTCAAAACAGTGCTAGGAGGGAGGAAGGACTGCACTCGCATCTGTCAGATGCTTGTAACATAATCGCCAACTCCACCAAAAAACAAGTCCTTTTCTCCGCGGTTGAGCTGCAGCTGGGATTGGAGCAGGCACAAGAGTTATGGAAAGCGGGGTGCAAAGGTCTTTGGCAGGGGTCTGTCTGCGCTTACACTCAATCCCTTCCTTCTGGACTCCCAGGGCCAATGTTGACATCTGCTCCGTGGGGCACTTTAGTGGCCTGCAAAGTCTGACAGAAAAGCATCTGTTCTGGTGTGAATTATTCTTAATCTATAGGACTGAGGCTTCGCATACAAATGATGATGAACAGTCAATCTGCATTCTGCTGTTTTACTGGTTTTTTTTTTTTCTTAATTATTAGCATGTTGATTATAAATGGCAAGATCAAGTTTGGAGAAATAGATTTTAATCAACTGAAATTTTCATTAAGAAAAAGATGTTTGAAAGATATCCTTCGTTGAGAATGATCACATTTTTCCTTACCCTATAGAGTTCCTCAACGCGCTTGGGTCGATACAGTATGGGTAAAAAATGGTAAGCTTCTCCACTTTTCCATTTTGTGTTTTCAGCACCAGTTAAATTTGAGAATATAGTAAATGCTTAATAAATACTTACTGAAGGACTACTATGTATAACTCGTGCACCTGTGTTTAGACAGTGAGGGCCACTGTTGAAACCTTTCCTCGCCTGAAGCTAGTAGAAAATGATGATTTGTGTTCATTCTCTTCGAGGGGTTCAGAAGAGAATATTCTCCCACGGCCCATCTCTATAAAAATCTAAGGCAAAGTGACTGCCCGAGAACTGTCAGGTAAGTGAGGGTCTGGTCTACCACATCCGGGGTAGCCAGCGTCACCGACCACCCACGCCCCACCGTCCCACCCTCAGGACCCCGCGAGCCTCAGGAGGACGGAGGCCGGGAGCCTAGGCGAGCCCTGCTCTCGGCGGGGTCAAACAGCGGTCGGGCCCTTCCGAGCTCCGAGCCGGCGGTGGGCAGCATTGGCCCGCGGCCTGGACAGCGGCAGCCGCAGCGGGAAGAGACACCGCCAGGAGCCGGGCCGAGCGAGCGGGGCAGGAAGGCGCCGCAGGCCGGGCCGTACGCGCTCCGCAGAGGCGAGCGGAGTCCGCGCTGAGTGAGGCCGGGCGCAGCCCCGGGCCCCCAGCCCCAGGCCCCCCTGATCCCCGGCCCCCCGAGCGCACTCACCATCTCCCGCCGCAGGAGGTGCAGCTTAGCTTCCAGCCTCTCCAGGGCGCTGGCGGCGCCGCGGCGCGGGGAGGGCGAAGCGCAGAGCGGGAAGCTGGCGCAGCCGCGGCTCCGAGCGCAGCCCCCACGGGGCTCCCCGTCCGGGTCCCCGGGCGCCGGCTCCTCCCCGCGGAGCGAGCGCGCCAGGCTCTCGGGGACTTTGCGCCCCAGCTTCAGCTCGATGTCTCGGAGATCTGGGAGCGGGCCGTCTTCCATGACTTTCCCGGAGCGGTGTCCACGGGCCGGAGACACGGCGGAGGCCGGGCGGCCCCGGCCTAGAAGCCCACAGCGCGGTCAGCAGCTCCCGCCCAGCCCCGCTGCCTTCGGCGACCCGAGCGCGCAGTGCGCTCCATGGGCGCCCGCACGGGACGCGCCGGCTCGCGGACCGGGGCCTCGGCGACTCCTCCGACCCTCGCCTGGGGTGCTCCAGACCGCCTCGGTCTCTGCCCTTCCGGCTACCCCACCGCAAAGTTGAGCTGTTGTTGCAGGGAGGTGATAAAGCGGGTACTACCGACCAAAAGAAAGGAGAGGGAAATAAATCCGGGGTGGGCTTTCTGGGGGGGAAATACACATTATAAAACTCCGCGCTCACATCCCTGAACTGGTGACCGGGAGCCCATCGGGCCCTACACAGCACAACAGCGATGTGCCCACATCACCGGGCCGCTTCTGTCTCCGGCCCTTGTCTCCGGATCGTCAGAACCGATCCGGGCCAGGGAAGAGGACGCCGGTCTGCGCGGTGCACTCGGCTTGGCTCCTACCCAGGGCAGGTGGCTCCGCAGGACTCCAGCGGCGTCCCTGACGCACCAGAAACACTCCTCTTCCCCTTCAGCCTGTCTGATCCCAGCCCCTGAGCTCCTCCGAGCCTCAGAAACTTTAAACTCTGCTGGCAGGTGGACCCGGCCAGGGCCAGCCCTTACCATATATCACAGACAAGAAGGGCAGCGGGGATTTTCCCAGCCCTGCTGCTAGGGGCAGAGTTTCCAGGCCCTGGTTTAGTAGGGAGAACCCGTATCGTGGTTTTTAGTTTGCTGGACAAATTGCCAGGTGGCTACAACCCTTACAATAATTTTCTTTTAATTATTAAGGGGAGAGTGACTTTGCTTTTGGTGTTGCTTCTCATCCCCTTCCTTCCTAAAAGCAAACACATCTAAAAGCCTTTTCTCATAATTTTACACTAACAAGAAGAGTGAAGAGATAACCAAAAGTTCCAAGAATATGTACAACAAAAATAATTGTCTTTCCAAAATTACAGCATATCCTGCAAGTTGAAGTGAAGAATTAAATATTCAGCGTAACTAGTATGACCACTGAGGTCATACTAGGGTATGACCCTAGTATTTTTTTAAAAGGGTAGCTGCTGAGTTACTTTCAATTGTCTTCTTTGATAATTTATTTATAATTTCCAGCTATTTAGAAGAATCCCCAATTGTGCAAATTATTAATCTATGATACTTCTGCCAAGTGAATAACTATAAATTACATCGATTATAGGATTGATTCAACATTGCCTTTGTATCAGTGATCTTCAAGTAGAATACATCCCAGCTTCAATCCAGTAAACCATATATATTGGTTTCCATTGGAATATTTCAAAGTTTAGGGCCCTCTATTTCTGGGACAAATAAGTATCTGTTCTTGGTTCCTCCCAGGCCCACTCAGGTTTTATAATTGTAGGAACACAGGACAGAACCCAGACTTGGCTTTTATTAGGGTCTCATCTGGGAAACTTTCTAAGGAGAGAAACCAAAGGCCCTACAAGGAGATACTTCATGTCAGGTAGAAAGCTGCTGAAAGTCTTGTCAGTATGCCAGAAATGTGTGTGCTGTGTTTCCCTCTTAAAAAGAAGTGAAGAAAAAAATTTGTAAGTTGTCCCATTTCAAAGATTAACCCACCAATTTATGAATCAAAGGTAAACAAGACTGAATCTCAACTCACAGATAAAACTTGTTGGAAAACAAGTTCATTGCATGGGAATTGCAGTGTGAAATGTAATTATGGAAGGTTTGCATTTTAATAAAAAATGGGCTTTTTTTTTTAATACTATAAAACCCTTACCAAGTCCAGCACAGGCTGGCTGAGAAGAGCATCTCACAGATACAGTACAATATTTAGCTTGAAAATGGTCAACTAAAGAAAGTTAATTGTTAAATTACAATCAATGTAACTTAAAAATAACAGAGCACTTTTGTTGCTATGAATCACAGACAGTAAAACTAATACTTGATGCTAAACCTAACTCAAAAATGCAATTTTTTCTTGCTTTTTAAGAAAGCCTGTAGAAAAATTAAAAGTAAAAATGTGTTATATGTAAAGTAACACTTTGTTCTAGAGGAATATGGAACAAACACAAAGACAACCTTAGTTATATTAAACCTTTAAAAATTCCTCAGTTTAATGCTTTATGACATTTTAGTTTAAAACAGAGGCATTTTTGAATACCACTTTAGCTAATTTTTGATACATATAGAATTACAAACTTTTTTTCTTTAGAGTTACAAACTCTTATTAGGCCTATAACACATAGTGTTTATGTGGTGTGGGCTGAGGCTCTGCTTATCCAAAATATTTGACAATAGGGGGTTTTAGCCTTTTGATTTTGAATCATATTTCTGTTTGTTTCCAAAACTCATCTGTGAGAAAAATGTGTGAGAAGTTTTTACTGATTGCTCCTACTATTTTGATTGCATGTCTTGATTTTGGGAATTTCTGTCAATAAGGGGTTGGGGAAGGGGAGTAAAGTGGGAGAGAGTCAGGATGCGTAGAAGAGGGAAGCAAGGGAGGAGAAAGACAGAGAGGACTCCCCACCCAGCTCTCAGCAGTGCCCCCTCTTTGTTACTACTTATCTCCTCCACCGGGCAACACCCCAAAGACAATGAAACAAAATCAACAAAATCGGAAAACCAAGTATTGGAGGCTTTGTGTTTGTGATACGGTTTCTTATACATTTTTATAGGCTACCTTTTGAGACAGCTTGAGGCATGGTCGAGATTTGCCCTTTTTTCCTGTTTAAAGTGCATAAGGAATGGAAGAATGGATATTAAAGTGTGGAGAACTCTGAGAGCCGGAGCTGCTTCTTCTGACGGAATGCGTTCATAGAGAAGGAAAGGGAGTTTGTGATTTATTAACGTGTTTTAATCTTGGTGGTCAGTGAAATAGGAACACTGTTGGGCTCAGCTGAGTCATTCTGAAAGAATGCAGCAGTCAGGGCCAAGCAAGGTGACAGACGCTCACACATACAGCTCACGGAGCTCTTCCAGGCCTGAGACACTTCAGGGAGTGCAAAGGCTTTGTCCAGTGTGGGTAAACCACTCCCTGATCTGCCACCAGCACTGTGGCTGCAGCAGAAAGGCCTCCGCCTTCTTCCTGGCACCAATTGAACGTTTGCAGCTTTCCCAACTCTTGCTGGCGAAGAGCTGTAGGACAAGGGTTTAATCTCTAACCTGACCCTCCACTCCCATGGTGCAGAACACCAAGGAACCTATGGATCCCCTCAGATTACATGAAGAATTTTAGGAGATAGTAACTATTTAATATGCATCAACTTCTTTAAATCTTTGTTTTAAATGCATTGAGCTACTGTTTCTATAAATATTTTTCTTTAATTTATAAGTGTAACAGGGGAGATGTCATGTGCAAAACAAAAGAATGTCGACCCTATCCAGAATGGCAGAATTAGAGAGCTGCTATAACTACAAAGGGTTTTTTTCTGCCCTATTTATAGAGTCATTTAACTCACCTTTAATTTTGTGTCTAGCTAGGGTGTGTTTCACTTAGCGATTATCATGTAGTTTATTACCACCTTAAGCAAGTTGTATGTGTGTAAACCATTTCTGTCTGTCCATCTGTCAATCTAGCCATTTATCTATCTCCTATGTATCTGAAACACCTCCCCATAAGGAGCACGGTCCCCTTAAATAGTACTCTTATAGAAATCTAATTAATATTTATAATCAGTTAATCACTTCCCCGAGAGATTTAGTAGACAATACTAAAAGTAGGTCACTAGCATCTAAGTCTCCTTTATCCCTCCTTCACAATGCCTGTCAGATCTTGGCCTTCATTATGTGGAATTGAGTTATTTGCTTTTTCTTATTTTCCTGAGCACTGGATTTCTACTGCAAGGCTCAATGTGGGGTCAAGCAAAAAGATCTCTTCAGCTAATCTTAGTCTGTTCCTCTATGGTGATTCCAGCTTGGATTATAGGCTGAACTATAGGTTATGTCAATGTCATATTGACAAATGTTTACATCCAGCTCTCTGAAAATATAAAAACAACTGACTTGTAGCATTTGACAATTTTCATGATGTAAATACAACATGGCAGACACCAAGTTACCAGTATGCAGTGAGAAAAGATGGGCAATAGTGCAGCATTCCCTAGTGTTCCTGCCATATGAAACAAATAGATGTGAATAGCTGTCTTTTATGTAAATGAAAAATAATGAATTATTTATGTAAATATGCTGAAGGACACATAGTAGTATAGTGGAATCAAATAATGAGGAAATGATGATGAATTTTGATGATGTATTAGCTTTGTTTTAATTTGCCTAATTTAAAAATAACACAATGTAATTTTTTAAATAATGACTTTGTTTAGTGGTAGGCTTGCCAAATTCCTGAAAATTAAACAAATGTGTCCTGCAAACTGGTAGGGGCTAGCTGCCACTCACCTTTGTTTCATAGCAGCACAGTTTGTGATAGCTAAAACTTGGAAACAGCCCAAATGCCCATCAACTGGAGACTGGATAAAGAAAATGTGGGTTTTTTATAAAATGGAGCACTACTCAGCCATAAAAAATGAGAAATTAGAGACATTTATAGCTAAGTGGATGCACATTGAGGCCATACTCTTAAGTGAAATAAATAGGACACACATGAATAAATTCCGAATAGTTTCTCTGGTGTGAGAAACTGAAAGTGTAAATAAGGACTAAATGTATAATAGGTAATATGAAATAGGAAGAAAAGTGGCAAAGGGGAAGGAAGTGGGAGGGCTAGGGGAAAGGATAGAAGGGAATGGGATTAATATGAGAAAATGGAAAAATGGGAACAAAATCTTTGTAAATAGGGAGGAATGGAGGGGTTGAAGGGAGGGCTGGGCAAGGGTGAAAAATAAGAACCAAGAGAAGCTATGTAAAGGTGCAAATTTCCAATGATGAATGTCATTATATTGTATACCTAAAATGTACCAATGATTAGAATGAATAATCGATAATGCAAAATAGGAAGAAAAGGTCCAAAGGGGTAGGGATAGTGGGAGGGGCAGGGGAAAAGAAAGAAGGGAAAGGAAAAATGCTGAGAAATGGAAAAAATGGAAATAAAGTCTTTGTAAATAGGGAAGGGTGGAGGGCATGAAGGGAGGGCTAGGAATGGGGAAAAAGTAACCAAGATGCATTATGTAAAGGTACAATTTCCAATGAGAAATGTAATTGTGTTGTATACCTACAATGTACCAATAAAAGAATTTAATTTTTTAAAAAAAGAAATCATTGGGGGATGATTTTTAATCCTTTGACAATTAAGTAAGAAAATGAAAAGTGAAAGCCAGAAAAAGTAGTGCAACTTTAAGTCTCGGGTTGCACAAGGCCATACTTAGGGAAATGAGACCTAAGGTCAGAGAACGCTTACAGCTGTGTGAGATAGTTTTCTTGGGTTGACATAACAAAGTGCTACAACAATAATTTGCTGTCAGTAGGCTAGAATTTCAAAGCTAACCTCTGCAGAGGGGAGCTCTGTCCAAATTCTCCAAGGAAAGACCCTTTCTCGCCTCTTCTGCTTCTGCTTCTCCTTGGCTTGTAGCCTCCTGTCGCTGGTGACTCCTGTCTCCACAGGGCTGTTTTCCTGTGTGTCTGTGTCCCTGTCTCTTTTCAGAAGGACTCACACTGGAGTAAGGACCAACTTTCTCCAGTGTACGTAGATTAGCAAACTGCAGCT